GAGCTTTACAAAGTGGTCATTGAGGGCGATGCCAGCACCAGCATCAAAGGTGGAAGAGTGGGTGTCACTGTTGAAGTCGGAGGAGACAACCTGGTTGGTGCTCAGTGTAGCCCAGGATGCCCCTGAGGGGGCCATCCGCCGCCTGCTTCACCACCTTCTTGATGTCATCATACTTGGCCGGCTTCTCCAGATGGCAGGTCAGGTCCACCACCGACATGTTGGCAGTGGGGACGCGGAAGGCCATGCCAGTGAGCTTCCCGTTCAGCTCGGGGATGACCTTGCCCATGGCCTTGGCTGCGCCAGTCGACGCAGGAATGATGTTCTGGAGAGCCCCACGGCCATCACGCCACATCTTCCCAGACGGGCCATCCACGGTCTTCTGGGTGGCGGTGACGGCATGGACTGTGGTCATGAGTCCCTCCACGATGCCAGGGGCGAAGCAGTTGGTGGTGCAGGAGGCATTGCTGACGATGGTGAGGTTGTTTTGGTACTTGTCGTGGTTCACGCCCATCACAAACATGGGGGCGTCAGCAGAGGGGGCAGAGATGATGACCCTCTTGGCACCCCCATCTAGGTGAGCCCCGGCCTTCTCCAGGGTGGTGAACACGCCCGTGGACTCCACAACGTAATCGGCGCCCACTTCCCCCCATTTGATTTTGGTGAGATCTTGCTCCTGGAAGATGGTTATGGAATAGCCATTGATGACAAGCTTCCCATCCTCCGCCTTGACTGTGCCATGGAACTTGCCGTGGGTGGAGTCTTACTGGAACACGTAGACCATGTAGTTGAGGTCAATGAAGGGGTCATTGATGGCGACAATGTCCACTTTGCCAGAGTTAGAAGCAGCCCTGGTGACCAGGCGCCCAATACGGCCGAAGCCATTTATTCCGGCCTTCACTTTCACCATGGTGTCTCGGGGACGGTGCTGGCGCTGCGCGAGAAGATGCGGCTGTCTGTTGAACGGGAGGACCACAGAGCCTCATATTACTCTTACATATTCTTTTTGGTACTTTTGAGAAAAGGTTTAAATTTGTGAATTATATCTTTAAAAGAGGATTTTTGTGGTTTTTTTTTTGAGACAGAAGCTCACTCTGTCGCTCTGGCTAGAGTGCAGTGGTGTCATCATAGCTCACAGCAACCTCAAATCCTGGGCTCAAGTGATCCCCTTACCTCAGCCTCCTGAGTAGCTGGGACTATAGGTGCATGCCACCATGCCCAGCTAATTTTTCTATTAATATTTTTAGTGAAGACGGGATAGAGAGCTCTTGCTCAGGCTGGTCTGGAACTCCTGAGCTCAAGAAATCCTCCGTCCTGGGACTCCCAGAGTGCTAGGATTACAGGTGTGAGCCACCACACCTGGCCTAAAACAGGGTTATCATATGAGCTAGTTTGCTAGGGCTGCCACAACAAAGTATCACAAACTGATTTAATCAACAGAAACGTACTGCCTCACAGCTCTGGAGACTGGAAATCCAAGATCAAGGTTCCTGCAGGGCCATGCTCCCCCTGAAAGCAGCAGGGAAGGATTCGTTCCTGACTCTGTCCTAACTTCTGGTAGTTCCTTGGCAGCATAACCCCAGTCCTCATATGGCTTTCTCCCAGTGTGCGCCTGCGCCCAAACTCCCCCTTTTTGTAAGGACACCAGATACACTGGATTAGGGGCCTCCCCCACTTCAGCAGGGTCCCCTCTTAACCGATTACATCTACGATGACCCTATTTCCACATAAGGTCACATTCTGAGGTATTAGGGGTTAAGTCTTCCACATATGAATTTGGAGAGGACACAATTCAACCCACAACGTACTGTCCACGTTCTGTTTAAAGATGTGTAGTAAATACTAATGGAGCCACCACCCTGCTGAAGAAAGGAAAGAAATTAAATAATTATTTCAAACCAGAAGGCACCATCTCAAAGTGTTAACACTGGCGACTTTGTTTTCCTAGTTTTGTTTTTCCAAATTTCCCCAAGGAACGTGGGCTTCTCTCGTTAGAGAGAACCAGGAGTGAAGGAGGTGCTGTCAGCCCCGGCACTGGGCCTGACCCTGCACCACTCTCCATTGGCCCAAGGGCCTGATCACGAGCTGTTTCCATCCTCCGGGGCCCTGAGGCAACTGCCACAGAACTGCCCTGGGGAGAAGGGATCCACGCTTCAAAGTGGGTCTGGCTTTTTTTTCAGGTGACTTGGGAGATTTCAAATCTTGGGTAGAGGAGCTGGGAGAGAACATTCTCCCAGGCCCTTTCAAGGCGTGACCGTCTTGGGCCTCTGAGATTGGATGGACACTGGGCTCAGCCGAGAGTCGTGGTTCTACATCTGCCCCAACCAGCAGTTCTGAAAGTATGGCTCCCAGACCAACGGCATCAGTATCACCAGGGAACTTGTGAGAAATGCAAATTCTCAGCCTGGCACAGTAGCTCATGCCTATAATCCCAGCACTTTGGGAAGCCAAATGACCTCAAGGATCACTTGAAGCCAGGAGTTTGAGACCACCCTGGGAAATTTAGCAAAACCCCATTTCTACAAAAAAATTTAAAATTAGCTGGGCATGGTGGCATGAGTCTGTAGTCCTAGCTATTCAGGAGACTGAGACAGGAGGATCGTGCCACTGCACTCCAGCCTGGGTGACAGAGCAAGACCCTGTCTCTAAAAAAAAAAAAAGAAAGAAAGAAAGAAATTCTCTGATTCTCTGACCCCATCCCAGACCTACTCCGGGAGTGAAGCCCAGCAATCTGTCTTCTCCAGGGGATTCAGATGCACACTCGAGTTTGGGAACCACTTTCCAGACCATGGGGAGGGATCTGGGAGAGCAAAACTAGCCATGCCACTTCAATTTTTTCTTTTTTTTTTTTAGAGATGGGGTCTCACTATGTTGCCCAGGCTGGCCTCAAACTCCTGGGCTCAGTGATCCTCTCACCTCAGCCTTCCAAGTAGTTGGGAGTACAGGCAAGTGCCACTGTGCCCCCAGCTCCTTTTCATTTCTACAAAAGCGGAAACTGAGGCTAGAGGAAGAGGAGAAGGACCTGGCCCAAGGTCACACAAAATTAAGAGTCAGAAGTAAAACTGAAGTTAGACCAAATGTTTCCAGTGTTCCCCTTTCTTTCTTCTGACTCAGGCAGACCTCCCAAGTCCATCCCAATTCACTCTGTCATGGTCTGGAGGGCCACCCTCGTGCCTGTGACCATCAATGAAGCGCTCCCTCTGTGCCAGGCACCGTGCTTACCTGCACTAGCTTGATGAATACTCACAACATCCTGTGAGGTTGGCATGTGTGCTCACCCATTTTACAGAACAGAAAACTGACGCTAGAGAAAGATCAGGTCACTTGCCCAAGGTCACAGAGCGAGAACTCAATCCAGCTTTCTCTCACCGCGGGGCCCATGCCGTGGGTAGCAAGACCACACCAGCACTCTCAGGGACCGCCCCTGCCCGGGGAGGGCTCTTCTCCAGCATCTACAATTCAGCGGAGAAACCACAAGGGAGACAGAAGCTTCCGAGAGCAGGCAAAACAGTTGGCAAACGGCCTAATAGCCAAAAGCGACTGCTGTGCACCCATCAGAAAGCCTGTGTCTTGGCTTGTACACAACTGCACTGGCCTTGGAGGGGGCAGAACAAATTGGAAGCAGTCAGCCAGGAGGAGCAGGAGTGGGCGGGGTTCTCTCCACGACCCTCATTCCCACTGTCTCACTTGTCCTCCTCACTTTGTTTCAGTTGTCCAGGACTCCCGCGAGCAGCGTGTGTGCCTCGGGACAGGGCTTCCCAACCTCCTCACAGCAGGCACACATAGAAAACAAAAACATTTCCACAGCAACTGGGGAGTCTGGAGAGGGGTCAGGGCATGTGGGAGACCTGATGAAAATTTACGCTGTCTTCATAACATATATTGTGATTGGAAACTATACTATAAAGTATTAGAGAAGACATTAAGGCTCAATTTTGTATAAAACTTCCAAATAAAACATTTTCAGGCTGGCAAGGTGGCTTCACACCTGTAATCCTAGCACTCTGGGAGGCCAAGGCCGGAGGATTGCTTGAGCTCAGGAGTTCGAGACCAGCCTGAGCAAGGTCCAGATCCCAACTCTACTAAAAAAATAGAAAAATTAGCCCAGTGTCATCGTGCGCTTGTAGTCCCAGCTGCTCGGAGGCTGAGGCAGGAGGATCACCTGAGCCCAGGAGTCTGAGGTTGCTGTGAGCTATGATGACATCACTGCACTCTACCTGAGGTGACAGAGTGAGACTCTGTGGCAAAAAAAAAATTTCAAATTCTTAGACATGAAATGTGAGCTTGCGTCCATGAAAATAACTTTTTATATCAGGTTTCATGTTTGAAATGGCCACACAAAATTCTCAAAAATAACTTTTTTGCAGAGGAAAAAAGGCTTTATAATGGTGGTCTCTTCAAAATTTCTTAATGGTCAATAATAGTGAGAAACTTTGTTCACAAAAGCAGGTAATATAAAATTTGGACCATTTTTTACCATTCAAAATTTCCTAATAGTTGAAATTATATTTAAAGACTTGAACAATGCCTCCCTTTATTTATTCACAAATAGAATGTTGAAATTCCCATGAAATTGTAAATAGATTTTGAATCCAATGACAACTTTTCCATGTCAAGTGTCTCAGAATAAGGTTACCCTCTAGTTTGCAGAACATGCATGCATCGTTACAGCTGTCACAGATGCCTGTAAAAGGACAGGTCAGCTGGGAACAGACGGGGGCACCGAACTTCGTGAAAATGGAGCTGGGAAACACCACTGGGAGCCGTGCACACCAGCGTCCTCCTCCCCGGACCCCAGCTGCACCTGGGCCGCAGGCTCTACCTCTTAGGCACATGGGACCAGAACTCCTCTAGCAACAGGTCCCTGGGCCCCCTGCCCAGGACAGGCAGTGGTGCCCTCTGCAGCTGGCTGCTCAAGCAGACGTCCAGGATGTAGAAAACCACCTTGGCGATGCTAGCTTGTTAGAGCAACATGCTCACTGTTCACAGGAACCGTGGACATGACACAGGACCCTGCCCACACGGGCCACCACGGGCCCTGCGCAGCTGCCCTGAAGATGGTGGTGATCAACATAGTTCACTTGCCACATGTGGCCCTGGCACACAGCTGCAGAGGAGGCTGACCCCAGCCTGGCTCTGAGGATCAGTCTGGTTGGTCTGAGGGCAGTCCCACTCCCTTGTCAGTGACGGTCAACACCTGGTTCAGAAACGGGCACGTGACTCAATTTGGGCTCAGGTGGGGAGTCTAGCTGGGGTTCTTTCTGGGAGACCGTCTAGAAGTGATCCTCTTCTTTCCACCAGATGCGGTTCCGGCCCAGGACATGACATTGGAATGGCAGCAGACTGAGAATGACGCCAGCACACAGGCCCAAGGGACCCTTGAGGAAGGAGAGGACAGGTCAACCCTGCAGCCCACTTCACCTTTGGACTCTGCGTTATGTCAGCCGCCACTTGTCCTTATTGTTTAAGCCAGTTTGATTTGTGCTTTTTGGTTCTTTGAAGCAGAAAGCGCGCTCACTCATGGCTCTGAGACAATCAGAACAAGAGCGGATGATAACATAGCAATCACTGTGCATCACCTGCACGCTACAAGGCAGCATTGTCTGCACTTGCAGATGGAGAAATGAAGGTTTGGAGAGGCTAAGAAACATGCCCAAGGGCACACAGCTCCCACGGAAGGTCAGGACCACAACACACATGGACCCCACTCCAGAGTCCATGGTCTTTATCCTTGCAACGTGCCAGTGAGGGAGGAAGCAAAAGAACTTTAAAAAGAGACCGAGGAGCTCAGGAAACTCAGCAGCTTGGCGTCACTTAGCGAAGGGGCAGATAGCCCATTCCCTGTAGCCACTGGGGAGCCCGGCGCAATTACAATTCACGTTTACAAGAGAAGGTACTACTTGCTATTTAAAAAAATCAGGGAGCAGATTTTTAGAAAAGCCATCAGCTAAACAGGGTTTAAAAGATTTCCAAGTGGCTTGGCAAAGTCTTACAAACTTATGCTTACCTCTTGGCCCAACCATTTCTCTCCCAGGTGGAAGAAATGAAAACTTACGTTCACACAAAGACCTGTGCCCAAATATTTACAGGAGTTCTATTCATAATAGCCCCAAACTGGAAAAAACCCAAATGTCTATCAATGATCAATGCATAAATAAATTGTGGAAGAGCCATACAATAGACTACTCAGCAGTAAAAAGGACTGTAATAGTGAAACATGCAAAAAGAACCTCAAAAGCATTATGCTGCCTGAGACTGTGCCGTGAACCCCACACCTGTGCATCCAACTGCTACTTGACATGCTCCCCGGATCTCAAATTTAAGCACCTGAACTTTTTTAGACCTGCCTCAAACCAGCCCCACCCATACTCTTGCCATTTCAGTTAATGACGGTTTAGTAATTTCAGCCAGACACCCTAACATCATCCTCAATTCCTTGCCTCCTCTAGAAGTTCTGTTGGCTGGACCTTCTCACCACCCCTCTGCTACCCTGCCCTGAGGCACCATCCAGTCTCACTTATCACAATGGGTTCCTAACCCATCTCCCTGTTTCTTCCCTGGACCCACTTACAGTTCATTTTCAGCACGGTAGCCAGGGTGATCATGTAAAAATATAAGTTGGATCATGTTACTTCTCTGTCCCCAACTCTCTAGTGGCTCCATCTCAAGTAAAAGCCAAAATGGCCTTCAAGACTCTTCCTGCTCTAACCCTGACCTTGTCTATATCATCTCCAGACGGTGGCTCCTCCTGACGCACTCTGCTCCAGCCACACTGGCTCTTCCTGTCTTTCCAAACTGCCAGTCCTGCTCCTGCTTCAGGACCTTTGCATATGCTGCCCCCTTGGTCTGGAATGCTCTTTCTTCAGATCTCCCCAACACTTACCCCCTCACCTCCTTCAAGTCTCTGTTCAGATGTTAACTTCTGAGATCCTCCTTGCTGCCCCCCTTCCTCATTTTTCTCCATAGCAATTAACACCCTCTAATATTTCCTTACTTGTTTCTGTCTGTCTCCCTCACTAGAATGTCAGCTTAATGAGGTCAGTGATGTTTTTGTCAGTTTTCTTCACTGGCCTATAGGAGGTGCTCAATAAACGTTAACTGAATGAAACAAGGGGACACCTGAAGCCTGGAGAGAAGGGACTTGCTGGAGGTCACAGCCATCTGGAATCAGTGGTTTTCATCTTGGAAGGAACAAAGCACTGAGTCCAGAGTTCCAGCCCAAAGTCCTTCTCAAAGTCATGCCAGGTCCTAGACCTCACCCCCAGGACAGAGCTGAGGGACAGCCCAGCCTCAGGGGGTGCCTGTGGGACTCTGCCAGGATTGGGGTGTTCCCGCCAGGAAGTCGAGGGGCTGCCCTGGAAGAGGGATGAGAAAGGGGCTCCTCCGAGAAGGTAGCCAGGAGATACCAGCGCCACAGTCCTGCACTGGTGGCAGCCACAGCCAAGGAGATCTCCCCCCGCCCTCCAGCTGCCTGGGTGCAGGCATCGGAGACAGCTGCTGGGCCCAGAAGCCCGACCCTCTGGGGAGCGGCAGAGCAGCAGATCACGGCGTTGCTGCGGGTCACCCAGCCGCCGCACTGCGACATCCTCATGCTCCCCTCCCGTTGTTGGCCCCAAACCAGCAGAGGGCGTCCTATCCCAGGTCCAGGCTCTGTCACTGCGCCCTCTGGCGGTCACACTGGTTAGGGCCAGAGGGGAACCCTAGATCTCCCCAGCCCCACGCAGGGGAGGTGCCCATCCTGGCCCCCTCCCTGAAGCCCGGGCTCCAGACGCACTTTGAAGATCCAGAGGGCCAGGGAGGGCACCAGCAGCCTGGGTGGCCTGGGCCCACCTGACCAGCAAGGTGAGGCCGCCAGTGATGACCACATCAGCCCCACCAGCTGAGCACTCACTGTGGACCAGGCTCCAGCCAGGCCACTTTATACACACCCAGGCCCAATTACCCACGAGTAGACTAAGGCACAGGGCAGGGGTAGCAGCCACCCAAGATCGCCCAGCAAGGAGGGGATGCCAGTGACCTCCTGCTGCCTTCCCCTCTCTGTCCCTGCTCACCCACAGACAGGGAAGCCTCCTCCCAGCTAGCTGAGATGCAGAGTTAAAAAGCATAAAGTGCAAGTATCAGCTGGCTTTTATTGCTGTGCTGGGCACCAGGTCTGCAGGGTCCACCTTCCACCTCCCTGCACCTCCCACTGGCCGGAAGAGGGTGCTGCTGAGACCCTAAGGTGGAGCTGGGGATTGGGATGAGGTGGAGGTAGAAGGGGGCAGGGGGCCCCAGTGGCTGAGTCCTGGGGAGGGCTGGGCTCCTGAGGGCTGCCCAGCTTGACACGGAAGGCTGGGGAGCCACTCCTTCCCTCTACCCCAGGCCCTGAGTCAGCCCGGGCAGGGCCCGGGGCCTGCACGTCCTGCCCCTTTGCTATGTGGCCTTTGGGGAAGGGGATCATCTCTGAGTGGTTTCTCCCCACGCAAGACGGGTTGAGAGGGCAGAGGGGCCGTGCCTAAGGTGGCAGCCAGGTCTCTCTGGGTCTGTGGCTCCTGCCAGCAACCTCTTCCTCTGCTCCCTGGGAGCTGTGGCCTGCTCCTGGGAGCTTCTTTGGAGTCACCATCTGGACCCGGTGGGCAGGAGGGGCAGGAAGAGAGAAATAGAACTAGAGTTATTCACACAGAATCAGAGAGACCAGACGCCGCCGACAGATACAGACAAACAGCCAGAGACAAAGAGCTAGAGAGAAATGCAGAGATAGCCAAAGGCACAGCTAGAGACAGAGACAAAGCCAGAGACAGAGAAGGGGAGAGAGAAGAAAGCTGAGAAGGGGACAACAAAGACCAAGCAGTCACGCCATAGAAGGGGAGAGAAAGCCAAGGCCCGGGGGCTGGGGGCCTCTGCCAGCCTCACCTAGAGCTCATCCCGGGGGTGGAGGCTGTGCCCACTGCTGCCAGCCAGGTCCAGACGGGGCCCGCGCAGGGTCTTTTGAGAGCCGCTCCAGCTGAAGAGGCGGCCGCTGTCGTCATCCCAGGGGGAGGATGTCTCCGTGTCACTGAGCCACTCAGCGTCCCCTGCGTAGTGGGTGGGGGCAGCAAGCAAGGGCCGCGCAGAGAAGGCACGCAGGTCCCTCGGCCAGAAGTGCGCCTTGTACTGCTCGCTGTGAGGCGGGAGGACAGCTCAGGGGGGCCGAGGCGGGCCCCTCCTCCCAGACCACACGCCAGCCCAGAACCGGCGCCTCACCTGCCCGAGGCACCTCACTGCCCTCCCATCTAGTCCTCACAACAGCCCTGAGAAGTGGGATTTCTATTCTCCCCATTTTCCAGATGGGGAAACTGAGGCTGAGAACAGGGGAGTCATTTGATTAAAAGCCACACAGGCTGCCAGAATTCACACCTAGGTTGGTCTAGACTCCAGGGCTAGGCTGGGCTACTCCTTGGTGACCTGGAGCAAGTGACTTGGCCTTGCCAGTCTCAGTCTCGCCAGCTGCCCAGGGAGGGAACTTACCACTTGCTAAGGTGGGCTCCTAGATGGGACGGCCCGGCCCTGCCCTCCCCTGCCCCACGCCCATCCGAGCCTCACTTGGGGTGCCGGTCAAACATGATGGGCAGGAACTCATCCACGGGCAGCATGCGACGCAGAGGCTGGGAGGCCAACAGCTTGCGGGCGCCTGCCAGGCTCAGGGCGTATGCCAGTGTCCAGTAGGAGTACCCAGCCACCACCAGGCCTGGTAGCCCCTCCACGGCTGCCTCCTCCTCAGGGTTCACCTGCTTCCGGCCAAGGTAGCTGCAAATGACACCAGGGGTCCCAGCAGTCACTTAGTCCTGGGCTGTCATGCGGCCCTTCCCTCACCCCCTCCCACGGGGCCAGCCAGGATTCCAGGCAGGAAGAGGCAGACCCGAGGCCTGCCTGCTCTCTTGCCCCGGGGCGCAGACCACCTACATCAGGTCCCACGGCAGTTTCTCTGCCTCCACCTCCTCCATCAGCCGCTCCAGCCGCCCCTTGAAGTTGCTCTCAAAGCGCACGTCGTCCTCAAACACCAGGACCCGGGCCAGGCCCCTGGCAGCCACCTGTGTACACGGTGGGGTGGGAGACAGCTCTGGGAGTCACTACCCTCTTCCCTCCTGGCTACGGCCCACAGACTCTGCCTGGCCCGTTACATTCCAAACGTCGCACAGCTGCTCCAAAGCCTGCTGGGGCTCCCACTGTCTAGGGACTGACATTCTAACCCCTCTCTGGCATTCAAGGCCCTCCAAGCTCCCAATCAGCTGTCCAAATAGAATCATGATGGTAGACGTGACCGTTGGTACATTCATTGAACACTATGATATCCCAGGGGCTCTTGGGGGCAGGAGGGAGACAGACACACAGGGCGGGGAAATAGCTTGCCCAAGGACACAGAGGCAGGAAATGGCAGAACTGGATACGAACCTGCTTCTGTTGGACTCCAGGGCCCAGCCTGTCACTTTGGCCTTCTCAGCTTTCCTAAAGGAAGCTGGGGTGGGCAGGGGTAGCGGAGACTCCAGCCCCCAACATCCCAAAGAAAATATACTTCTTGTAACTTTTTTTTTTGAGACAGAGTCTCGCTCTGTTGCCCGGGCTAGAGTGAGTGCCGTGGTGTCAGCCTAGCTCACAGCAACCTCAAACTCCTGGGCTCAAGCAATCCTACTGCCTCAGCCTCCCGAGTAGCTGGGACTACAGGCATGCGCCACCATGCCCGGCTAATTTTTTCTATATATATATATATTTTTGGTTGTCCAGATAATTTCTTTCTATTTTTTGGTAGAGACAGGGTCTCACTCTTGCTCAGGCTGGTCTAGAACTCCTGACCTTGAGCGATCCACCTGCCTCGGCCTCCCAGAGTGCTAGGATTACAGGTGTGAGCCACCGCGCCCAGCCAGAGTGAGTGCCGTGGCGTCAGCCTAGCTCACAGCAACCTCACACTCCTGGGCTCAAGCAATCCTTCTGCCTCAGCCTCCCGAGTAGCTGGGACTACAGGCATGCGCCACCATGCCCGGCTAATTTTTTCTATATATATATATATTTTTGGTTGTCCAGATAATTTCTTTCTATTTTTTGGTAGAGACAGGGTCTCACTCTTGCTCAGGCTGGTCTAGAACTCCTGACCTTGAGCGATCCACCTGCCTCGGCCTCCCAGAGTGCTAGGATTACAGGCGTGAGCCACCGCGCCTGGCCTTCTTGTAACTTTTGAAAATGTGAAAAGAAGAGGAAATCAGTTCAATAAAGATTGAACTATATCATCCTTCAGTTTGTTCAGAGATGATAAAAAACCAACGTGAATATCAATACAAGCTCACATACACATACACGTGTATATTTTGGCTACAGTAGAAAATAAGACGGGATCTGTGCCCATGTCCTGGAGGTGGTGCCCTCGGAGAGCCCAGTTCCCTTGCTTTTACTCTCAGTGACCAGCGACCTCTCCCTGCACTCACGCCCCAGGCCCTGGGCTGAGGCCTGGCCAAGCTCGGGGCATGTGCCAGGCCCCAGGCCTCCTTCCCTCTGCCCCCAAACACCTTCCTGCCTCAGGGCCTTCGCTCCGTGGTTTACCTCTGCCTAGAAGGCTCTTCTCCCACCCACCCATGGTGAGGCCCACCCTGAGCCCCCACACCAGGAGTTGGGGCCAGTTCACCCTCTCAGAACAGCCCAGACCTCTCCCCTCCACTGCAAGCCTTGCTCTTTCAGATTTCTGCCCCCTCCTCTGGTCCCTGAGCCCCAGGAGGATCCCTCTATTGCAGGAAGGAGGGGACATGCATATTCCTCGTCTCCTCTGTGTTCTCAGAGCGGAATATCTCCTAGCACACAGTAGGTGCTCAAGAGAGACTGCAGAATGAACAGGGTACCCCTCAGTGGGGCCCGGTACGGGGCTGAGCACAGAGGAGGTTCAAAGCTGCTGGCCGGGTCTCTGTTATGTGTTCATTCACTCGTGCGTCCACTGAGCGGACAGAGCAGTGAGGGGTGCGGGCTGAGCGGCGGGTCCTCACCTCCTCCCAGATGGAGTAGTGGCTGAGGAAGCAGCCCACCTCGCCCTTGGTCAGCGTGCGGCCCGAGTAGGGGTCCTGGTAGCCGGGGAGCAGGTCCACGCCGAGGCTCCTGATGACACTGCTGTTGAGCATCCTGAGGGACACAGGCGTTACCAGGGTGAGACCCCTCCAGAGGGGCCTGGCCTGCGCGTGTTGGAGACAGTCCCACTGCGGTCTGGTGTGAAGGAGGTTTCAGCCACATAACTCCTTTGTGTGGCCTGAAGCTGTCAGGGACTGGACCTGGGGAATCGTGGCTACCTTGGGCGTTAGGATAGGACACAACTGTTAGGACACGTCCCCATCTGATAGGTGACCCTTGGGAAAAGGGGGACAGGAGGCTGTCTGAGGGGGAAGCACCCCAGATGAATGTGGGAACATGAGAGATACTCCCTGGGCAGAGGCCCAAGCAAAGGATGGACATCCTATGGTCGAAAGAGCTGAGGGCTTGAAGCAAACAGCAGCGGGCATACGGGGCCATGTGACCCCTGGTGTCCACGGGAGCCTGGCCTCTGGATTCCCCTGGGGAACATGGCCGGCCTGCCCCGACCCCCACCCCTCAGGGACCGAACTCCAAGGTGGAGAATAATCATTGTAAAGACACCTAACCCTTTGCAATACTACCGTGTGTCAGGCCCTGGCCAGCTCCTCCTGAACTCCCACAAAACCCTGAGAGCAAGGCACAATCACTTGCTATTTACGTGACAGGGTTGGGGGCCAGGGGTAACCTGCCAGAGAGCACATAGCTGGTAAGTGGCAGAGCTGGAACCCAGGCCCTGCAGCCTTAACCACTGTCCTCTGCTCCCTCTGGCGGGCTGAGGGAGGGCATCTTGCCCTGTGTGTGCCTGCCCCGGAACTCCCTGAGACAGGATTACTCAGGCCCTATTTGAATACCTCCTAGAACAGGAAACTCATGCAACTTGGCTGCTTTTCCCGCTCCCAGGGAGCTCAGAGCTCCCTGCCCACGCCCAAGTGCCCAGGGCCCCATCCCCAGGAAGTCTCACCGGCCATCCACAGCGTCCACCACCCGCCCAGAGATCTCCATCTCCCAGAGTGAGCTCAGCATGCGCTCACGGCGGTCAGGCCTGCGGGCCAGGCTGATGACAAAGACCTGGGGGGGTGGGGGGATGATTGCAGGGGTGGGGAGGGGAGAGCCCATCCACCTCCTGCCCCCAATCCTGAAGGTTGGGGGACTTACCTCATCAAACCCCATCTTGCTGGGCCTCTTTGGGGGCCGAGACACATGAGCTGAGGCCTGCATGGGGGGCCCATCAACTGCAAAGGGAAGCACGCCCCAACCATGAGTCCCTCCCTCCTGGCTCCCATTAGCAGCCACCTGAAGTTCTAACCCCCGGCCTCGCCCCTGCCCTCTTCAGCAGAATGCCCAGCAGGGAGGGCCCCCTGAGATCACAGGATCCACCTGGCCCCATTGTAGAGCTGGGGAGACTGAGCGATGATAAGGACAGGGACTTGCTCAGAGTCATGGAACGAATTAGCGGCAAGGCTAGAACCCCAAGCCCAGTGCCCATCCAGGTCAGGGGCCCAGGAAAAGGGGTACAGTGGGGAGGTGGGGAGCCCCAGCAGCAGGGGGTGGAACAGGCCCCAGTCCTCACCTAGAGCTTCCAAGATCAGGTGGATGAAGTTGACCCCCTCGTCCTCCAGCCCCTGGTGGGATTTCACGGGCACGTTCAGGTACCCGTAACGGTGCTCATTGCACACGTGGACTGAGACCCCTGCAGGGACAGGCTGAGTGAGTGCTGGCAGGGGGTGGATGGGTAGGCCCTCAGAACCCACCCAGAGGTCCTAGGCCCAGCACTGCCAGTGACCCAAAGTGTGAGTCTTCTCTGGGACTCAATTTCCCTACCTGTGGGCCCAGAGGGAGAAAGGGCTTGATTCACAATATCTAAGGGGTCTTTCTGCTGAGATGGTTTATTCATTCAACAGACCTGTCTAAGGCACCTTCTGGGCAGGAGGGCTACGGCGGTGAGTGGTGGTGAGCAAGACACACAGTCCCTGCATCAGAGGGTCAAGGTGAGGAAGGAGCAGGCCAATTCGCACCTGCTGACAGCCACAGGCTGCAGTGGGCCCTGTGGCTCCACCCCTGAATCCTCCTCTCTCTCCCCATCCCCAGCGCCCCACCCTGAGCCAAGAACTATCACTTGTGCCCAGAGGCCTCCACTCCTCTCCGTGTTGTCTTCCACCTGACACCAGAGTGGCCTTTTCCCCCTTCGATATTTGTCCCCTTTATTATAATTACCCTCGGGGCAGACGCATGGTGTCCGCGCCCAGCACTGAGCACACAGCCTGGCCCAGAGCAGGGACGCGGCAGCCGGATGGCCTTCGCAGCACTGGCCGATTAACAACGGCTGTCCCATGAAGTAGTGGCAGTGATGAAAACCTAAGGGAATGCTTTTGTTTCCTCTCTTTTTTCCCCTCCATTTATTTGTTTTGGCTTCACTCGCTTTTTGCACTTAGTAAAATTTTTTGCTCCTTGTTTGCCTGCACAGCGCGGACGTCCCCAGCACCTCACGCACAAAACAGACTCCCAGCACCCTCCGCTCTGGCCATGACCCACACGCTGCTTGCTCAGGTGTAAATCGTCACCTCTAGTTTGCCCTGACCACCAGCAAAGTTCTCCGCCCACCAGATAGTCTACATCCTGAATAACTCGTTCTCTGCCGCCTTCTCGCAGACTTTACCCCAACATCAGTGTCTCTGTCTCTCTCTCATCTTCCGACTCTTCCTCAGGACTGGATTTATTCCATCTGCACCCAAACACTTTCTAGGAACTTTCGTCTTAAAAATAACTGCCAACACCAGAGTGATCTTTTCAGTGTGCAAATCTGATCACACACAACACCTCTGATGGCTGCCCACACGCTCAGGCTAAAGACCAGGTGCTTGCCTGTCGGTCCTCAGAGGCTGGCCCCTGCCTCCCTTTCCTGCCTCGGCCTGTACTGTGTCCCTGTGCTCCAGCCATGTGTCTTCCTATGTTCCCTGCTACCACAGGGCCTTTGCATCTGCTGGTCCCTCTGCCTGAAATGCTCCTTCCTGCTCTGTTTGCCTTGTCAATGCTTGCCCATACTTTGAATCTCAGCTCAAAAATTTACTTCCTCCAGGAAGCCTTCCCTGACCAGGTCAACTCTAGTGTAAGCTCCTAGAGCACGTACAATCAAGAAGTTCTCCTTCTGTCACCATTGTGATTGGACATTGATTTTTGTGGTCCTTTGACTGACTGGACTGGAGGATCCAGGAGGGCAGGGACTACCTGATTTTACTCACCACTGCTTCCCAGTGCCTGGTACATGGCAGGTGCTCCACAAATATTTGACTAGTGAAGGAATACATAGAAGTGCCAAGATGGGGACAGCCAGAAACCCACTGGGGTGGTGGTTACAAGAAAGGCTGTGAGAGTTAACAGCATGAAATGCAGAGTGGGCAAGGGGATGCTAAGCAGAGGACACAGCATGTGCAAAGGCCCAGAGACCTCCAAGAAATGCTCAAGGAGGGCTGGTCCTCACCAGCAGCCTGGCAGGCATAGGCGAAGACGATGATGTCGTCGAAGGGCCAAGTGTAGTTGGGATGAGGCGGGTAGAAGGCGAGCTGGGCTGCCCCTTCAGCCCGCAGGGATACCAGGAAGGTTGAGTGGACCATGGGGACACGGAAGCAGCCCCGGCGCTGGCGGTTCTTGGTGGGGAAGTACTCGGCTGTGCGGCGGTAGTAGCCCTGGGGAAGGGGTGTGCTCTGGGCTGTGAGGGGGCTCCCCCTGCCACCACCCACAGACCCCACAGCCTTCAGGCTCTCTGCTCTCCATATCCCTTCTCCCAGGACCTGAAGCCTCCTGAGGCCCCATCCCTGGCCTCACCTGGGGGGTGATCCCACACCAGAAGTTGGAGTAGTAGGTCTGGGAGTCCAGCATTGGGGCCACCACCGGAAGTCCCCGCTCCACCAGAAGTCGCAGTGTCTGGTTGTTGGTCAGAATGTTGTCTGTGTCTGCAAACTTTGGGGAGGAGGATATCATAGGCCCCAGCCCTGTCACAGGTCCCAGCCCTATCTGGGCTGCACAGTTCACTGATCCCTCCAGATTGCCAGAGACCCAGAGTGGCTCCCAGGATCCAACAGGAGTTCCCTTAGAGACATCTAACAAACAAACCCATTAGATCTGTTTCTGGACCAAGGATCTAGTCTGGGGCACTGGCTCAGCTCAGGGATTGGGTCCAAAGATTACACCCGAGTTGCTGATCTAAGAACCTTATCTGAGATCTGGCTTAAGGAATGGATCCAAACACCTACTCTGAACTCTAGTCTGGGGATCTAGGCTCAGTTTATACTCTGGGCTCTAACCCAGGAATCTAGGCTCAGTACATATGCTGGGATCTATCTCAGGAATCCAGGCTTAGTACCTAGTCTGGGCTCAAACATAGGGATCCAGGCTCAACTTCTGGTCTGGGCTCTGTCCCGGGTAGCCTGTTGAAGGATCCAGCCTTCAGGTGGTTCAGGCATAGCAAGATTTCTGTTAGGGACAGATACTGCCACCTTTCAGAAGCCCAATCTTGGGCCAGGCTTCTTACCAAGATGTAGTCAGCCCCCCAGCCCCTGGCGAAGGTGAGGGCTTCCTGCTTCAGCTCCATCAGAAACTGGTGCCTCTCTTTGGTCCAATGCTTGGGACCCTCTTCATCTGGGTAGGACCTGAGGGGAGAAAGAGATGAGATGTTCCCATGGGGTAAGTGCTTCTCTCTCTCTGCAGAACAGCAGGCAGAGCCCTGGCCTGGAGGCTGTGGCTCTGGGCTGCCCCTTCCTCTCGGTGTCGCAGCCGTTCTCTACCTTCCCCTGTACCCCTCCCCTCACATCACCACCTGGGCTCCCCCTTGGGCCTCCAGACCACAGCTGCATAGTCCTCCCCCACAGCTGCCAGCCACTCCTGTAGCATCTCCGTGGTGTTGTCCATGTTGTGGTCTGTGGCACACCTGGGGAACAGAGGGAAAAGGGTGAGGGGTTCAGCCACCACAGGACTGAACCCCAAGGCAGCCTTGATGCCAAAGCACCAACACCTTTGAGGCTGGCCTCTCCTGGGAGCAGTGGAGGGTAGGTATGGAGGCAGGACAGCCAGGTCCTAATCGCAGTTCTGTGACCAGCTGTGTGACCTCAGGCAAGTCCCGTCATTCTCGGCTTCACTTCCTCCCTCCACTTTAAGCTGTCCTGCCTATGTCATGGGCCAAGAGAAGAGAAGATGAATGCATTCTGAAAGATGAAAGGTACCTCAGCTTTAAGGATCACACTTGCCATACTCCCTGGTTACCTTCCTTCCTTGCTGTGTGACCACAGGCCAGCCCCTTTCCCTCTCTGAACCAGGACTAGGCAGAAGAGCTGCTGTTTTCCTGCACCCACAAGTTTTAATAAGAACCAAACCATGCTCTGAGCATCCCTGAGAAGGCTGGTGGGCCTGGGCTCTGCTGCCATGGAGCAAAGCCTCCCCTGTCCTGGGGAGCAGCTCTCGTAAGGAGGTGGGGGCTTAGCAGGAGCCCAGGGTTTAGGTGATGCTGCGCCTTTAAGCCAGTTCCCCAGAAGTGAAGACTAACTACGTGTCAACTTTTATAGGGCTGGGAGCTAACTAACTCCCAAACTGTGGTGATTGTGGGCGGCCTCCCCAGGCCACAGCTCCAGCCCCAGCCCAGCTTTTGGTGTGCTGTGAGGGGCGGTTTGTCATTTCTCTCAGTGTATACCCCACCTGAGCCCCGGCACCACCCTGTTCCCGCTGTAAGCTGGAGATTGTGGCCTCTGATCCCACTGTCCTATGGGAGCCAGAGGGGGGGACTCCAGGGACGGGGGGGCGCCCCTTGGCTGACAAGACCCAGCCCCTCTGCGAACAGGAGCTGGCACCGGCCAAGCTGCAGGGGAGCCAGGCTGACACCCCTGCGCGCAGGAGCCCAGGGCTGACGGCACTCCCGCGCTCCTCAGGACCCTCCCGTCCAGCCCCTCCCTGCCATCGTCCCTGCCACGTTGGGCCCGGAGGACTCCAGAGGTTCCTGTCTGCTGCTCCCCAAGTCAAGCCAACCACAGGTCCCACCGGGGTTGAGTTTGGGCTCTGAGAGCCGGGCAAGACGGGGTGGGCCCAACTTACACCCAGGGGAGGCCCCAAGAGAAACAGGGGGCCAGAGGAGAGGTGAGTGTCCCCGGGTCGACCTGTGGCCTCAGAGGTCTGTCCTTGCCCGCCAGGGGCATGGGGTCCTGTCTGGGGCTCGGGGCTGTGGAGGGCCTGCCTGTGAGGGTAGGGGCCTGTCTGGGTGGCGTCTGGGCAGGCAGCGGATGGGGCCGTCTGGGGCGGGGGCCATCTGCGAGGCTGGGGAGTGGATGCCAGTGGGTGCCAATGCCCGGGTCTCTCTCACCAGAGGGCCAGCCTGGCCCGGGGGTAGTCCAGCCGCTCCAGCGAGCCCAGGTAGTGGGGCAGTGAGTGCTCGGCATTGCGGGCCAGGATGGCAAGGACCACCGCGGGCAGCGGCTCCGCGACACCCGCAGCTTGGAGCCCCGGCCCCAGCAGGAGCAGCAGCTGGAGCAGCGGGGCGGCGGGGGCAGCGCGCATGGCGGGCGCTCGGGCGGCGGCGGCGCCCCCCCCCGGCTCCGGGCCCGGCCGAGGGGGGTGGGCGGGGCGTCCGGGCGGGGCGGGGCCTGGGGCCCGGGCGGGGCCGAGGCGGACCCGGAGCGGGGAGGGGGAGCATACCCCCCCAAAAGAGGGCTCCCACTCTCCACCACTGTGCGTGCGTTTCTGGCCGCTCCTCGGCCCGGGGCGCGGAAGCCAGGGCCGGAGACCCGCCCCAGACGCCACCTAGGAACAGCCCCGCCCGGCTGGACCCCGGAGGGGTGAAGGGGAATGGGGGGCGAGTCTTGGGTGTCGGCATCGGAGCCGGCGGGGCGTCTGATAACCCTCGACGCCTCGAATCCCTCAGTGTTCAGCCTCTGGAATCCGGATTCCCAGGTCCATCCATCCGACTTCGGACCTTAGCCGCAGACCCCGCGGCCTTCCCGGGGTTCCCCGGCGCGCGCCCACTTCTCCGCCCCGGACGCCCTCTGGCGGGCCCAGACGGGAACTGCGCAGGCAGCGGGGCGACGCGTGGGCGGGAGAGGAAGGCCCAGCTTAGGGGGCGGGGACCGGGTCCCCCTGACCTGGGCTCGCCGTCCCGCGGCAGTCCGCGTCTGGCGACTCCCGCGCATCACCATCCTCGCCTAGGTCGCCAGCACCAGCATTGCTCCGGCCCTTTCAGAGAGAAAAGCCCACTCTTAGTCTGAGTGCAGAACTAGGGGCGCCACAGAGCCCCTCGCAGCCACCCAGCCCCCTCCAAAACAGCGGATACAGCCTCCCCTGGGGCCGAGCTGGGGTCCTGCTGGGATGGAAAGTAGTCTTCAACCTCTCTTGGAAAAGGAACAGAAAAGGGGAGGGGCAGCAGAAGTGGTTTCTAGCTGGGCACCTGCCACCCACCTCAGGTCACTTTTCCTAGGCTGGTAACACGACCTGTCTGGGAGGGTTTGCAAGGATTCCTTCAGAGAATGAATGCACTTAAGCTTTTCTCTGCATGGAGCCTAACACACAGGAAGGGCTCTGCTCAGGGGGTTGGAAGGAGAGAAGAGTTTCCCCTTCATCCTCCCTCCCACCACCTGGAGGTCTACTTTCCTATGGGCACCTTTGGATCATCCTTCAGCCCCTTCTGAGGGTCAGGGAAGGGTGGAAGGGCAGGGTGAGGGCCCAGCAAGGAGGGACTTACCTAGCAATGGGGCAGCATGTAGGGGCACTGTACCCTGGAGTCCTGTCTCCAGCCTGGCTCCAAAGCCTCCACCAGACGCCAGATATAGCTTCCAACAGGGCCATTTCTAGGCCAGTGGTCCTGCAATGAGAAGGCCCCAAGGTCCAATGGCAGCATCTTGGGGAGACACAAGAGACCCCTCCCTTGCACGGTAGCCTCTGGCAGGAAGCCACCCCCAGGTGCAGAATGGAGATTCCCTTCTAAAGTGAAGCAGTGTCCCCTAACTCACCTGCCAGAAACGTGGCCAACGTTCCCCCCAAAAAACCGGGTCCCTTTGGTAGAGTTGCAAGGGATAAGAAAATAATAGAGAAAAATGGAAAATAAAAGAAATAAAAGAATACAGAGAGACAAAGATATAGTTTTATAAGTTTATAAAGATTATAGGCAAAGTGGGATCTCAGGGGGCCTAGACCTTCTCCATGGGTCTCAAAAAGCCCCAAATGAGGTCTTACATGGTAACTTATAGGGATTAGTGAATAATTGCCAGGGGTAACAGATTTACACAACAGCAGGTAGTTCCTCTCAGGTTAACAGATTTTCAAAAGGCTTCTACAGATTCTTTAACTAATCCTATCTACGTGAGCAAACGGTTACAAAATCTTTCAAAGGTTAACTTCTAAGTTCTAAGGTAAGTCTATCACTTAACAGAGGGGTTAAACAGAGATATGTTGGCTCCATATTTATTAGGTTATTGTGAATGGAGGCAGGTAGTCTAGAGTGTTTAAACAAGAGCTTGTTTTTAGCCATTCGGGCAGCTGTCTGTTCCGGGGGGCACTCCATTGTCAGCTCTCAGCCTGTAGTTTTTTTGTTTTTTTTTTTTTTTTGAGACAGAGTCTCACTCTGTTGCCCGGGCTAGAGTGGCGTCAGCCTAGCTCACAGCAACCTTAAACTCCTGGGCTCAAGCGATCCTCCTGCCTCAGCCTCCTGAGTAGCTGGGACTACAGGCGTGCGCCACCATGCCCGGCTTATTTTTTCTATATATTTTTAGTTGTCCAATCAATTTCTTTCTATTTTTAGTAGAGATGGGGTCTCACTCTTGCTCAGGCTGGTTTCGAACTCCTGAGCTCAAACAATCCACCCGCCTCGGCCTCTCAGAGAGCCAAGATTACAGGCATGAGCCACCATGCCCAGCCCAGCCTGTAGTTTTTAACAGATTCACTTGTGCTTTACAAAGCAAGTCCAAACCTTTAGGTCTGAGAAACACGGCGCCTTGTGGGATACAGCCGCTACTGTCTTTCAGAGACACCCTTCGGAGTGTAACAGCATTTGAAATGCAAACCAACACGTTCACATATTCCTTCAGGGCAAAGTTCTGCAAAACTCCTAAGACAAATCCCATCTGCAAACACGTTTAATATTAATTCATGGAGCAACACTCACCCATCCCAGAGCCTCTGCCTGGCCTATTGGTCATGAGGAGGCTATGGTCTGGATATTTGTGACCCCTAAAATTCATATGTTGAACCTAATCACCAGTGTCATGATATTAAGAGGTAAGAGCTTTGGGGGGGGCGGTTAGGTCATGAGGGCTCCACCCTTATCAATGGGGTTAGTGCCCTTATAAAAGAGGCCTGTGCGAGATTGTGCGACCTTTCTGCCACAAGAGGACATGGCTAGAAGGCCCTATCTGTAAGGAATGAGTCCTCACCAGATACCAAATCTGCTGGTGCCTTGATCTTGGACTTCTCAACCTCCAGAACTGCGTGAGTAATAAATTTCTGTTGTTTATAAATTACTTGGTCCAAAGTATTTTGTATAGCAGCCTGAATGGACTAAGAGAGAGGGGGCTTCCAGATTCTTCCCTGGCCTTAAGTCCTCCTCCTCCTCCCCCTAGTCCTCCCATCTCCACTCCATCCCTCCCTAGTCCACCCAGTGGTCCAGCCTGTCACTAAATCCTGTGCCCCAGGGTTTATGCATCACCCCTGCCTAGAAGAACCCTGTAGCCATCTTGCTTTGGGGCAGTTTAGGGCTACTGCAGACTCATGAGCGCCACCCGCAGCTGGGCTCTCACCCAGCCCCACAGTCCTGTTTCCCTGTGCTCCCTGTCCCCTCTCCTCAGTGGCATTTCAAATGCACCCAGTATTCTCCAGCCCCTATTCCACGCCCCCTCTCCCCCAGCAAGGATCTCCCTGCTACTTTTCAGAGAAAACAGAAGCTATCATCCGGGAACTCTTATTTCCAGCCTCCAAACCTTCCACCCTTTGCCTTCAAGCCAGCCTCTTGCTCTTCCCTCCTGTCACAGTGGTAGAGGTGCCTGCTCCTCCCAACAGAACCACCCCTGGCCTCCATCCTGTCCCCTTGCCCTTCCTGTACCCCCAACCTCCCTCTCTTCTGGTTCTTTCTTCCACATGCCAAAGGACCTGAATCTCCCCCAACTTAAAATAAGAAAACACCAACCAAGGCGCCTGCGCAGCCTCCAGATGCGGCCCTAACTCACTCTCTTCCTCCAAACCTCTTGGTGGAGAATCTGCACTTTGCTTGCTTCCTCGCTTCCTTCTGTTCCTGCTTGACACGCGCCAAGGCTGCTGCAGCCAAGCTGTTCCTGCTGAGACCAGAGTCCTCTGGTCACTCCCCTGAGTGGACACTTCCTTCCCATCCCTCATCCAAGAGGGCTCAGCCCCCCTTCAACAGCTGACTGCATGGACCACTCCCTCTGTCTGGAAACCTGACATCTCAACAGTCCATTGGACCCAAACTCCACTTGTGCCAAACAGAACCCCAATCTTTTCCCCAAACCTGCTCTCCCTCCAGTGCTCCCACCACTCTAGGGACTGGCCCCTCGGCCCACACTGTCCCTCAGGCTGGAGACCTAGGTGTCACTGATGACAAGTCCCTGTGTCTTCATCACCGACTCCATCCTCTCGCCTGGCCAGGCCGCCTCCACAAATCTCCCACACACAGCCACCTCTTTCCTTCTGCTCCACCATTTGCCTGGCTCAGGGGGTCAGCGTCACTCACCTGCGCCACTGCACCTCCCAGCCCCTGTTACCCCCCCACACCACCACCAGGTTTTCCCCCTGGAAACCATTCTGCGCTCAGCAGCCCTTTCTAAAATGCCTGACACCCTTCACGGGTTGCCCATTGCCCTTGGCATAGAGCTCAAAACCAACCCTCAGGGGGCAGCAAGGCCCTGCATGGCCTGCCTGCAGCTTTTCCAACTCCTCTGATCTCCACGCCCTTCCACCTTCTGCTGCAGCCAAATTGCATGATTTACAGTTTCCAAAACACTCCATGCTTTTGGAATTGTTTTTCCTTTGGTCCCTCTGCCTGGACTGGCCCTTCGCTTCCTGGACAACTCCTATACTATAGGCCCTGCAGTCTTGGCTTAAACTTCCTTCCTCTGCAAAGCCCTCCCCGATGTCATGTCTGGAGGACAAACCCCTACATGGCATTCTACATGATCCCATTCATTCAGCAAATAGGTATTAAGCACTTGTGCTGGCAGAGCTCTAAGTATTGGAGACAGGAACGTACACGAGAGTCTCTGCTCCTAGGGTGGTTACCTTCTGGTGAGCAGACACAGACAGGAAACAAGCAAACCCATAAGTGAATAGATAATTTCAAGGAATGAGAGATGCTATGAACAAACTAAAAAAAGTGATAAAGAACCAAGAGTAGCTGGGAGTGGGGCAACATTCAGATAGAGGGGTCAGAGAAGACATTTCGGTGCAAAAGGAAGAGCCAACCAAAGGACGATCTGGGGGAAAAGGGTTCCAGGTAGAGAGAACAAGTAGGGCACAGGCCCTGGGGTGGGGACAAGCAAGGGGCTTGGAGCAAGGTGAGCAACAGGTGTGCTAAGGGGTGGGGTAGGATAGGTGGGCAAGCCTGGGTCACCCAGGGCCTTGAAGCCATGGTAGAATTTTGGATTTTTTTTTAAAGTGCAATAGATAGAAAGACATAGAGGAGTAAGCAGAGGAGTAATGTGATTTGTCTCAAAGAAATTGCTCTGGCTGCAGCTTAGAAGGTGGACATGAGGGCAAGGATGGCAGCCGGGAGACCCTGCTACAGGGAGAGTTGATTCTGGAAGGCAGAGGTTAGAGGTGTGATGCAGGCAGAGCCCACAGGCCTTGTGGGAGTGGATGTGTGAGACAGAATGTGGAATCGGGATGACGTTAGCAGGTGGCTGGTCACTGAATGGGAGGACTGGAGAAGGAGCAGGTGGAATGTGCAAATCAGCTGCAGTTTGGGATCTCATTCTGAGCTGTTCCTTTAGACCTCCAGGTGAGAGATCCCACGGGAAACCTGGCTGGCTCTGAGTTCCGAGGCAGGGACCTGTCGTCTGCATTCACCATTCTGTCTCCAGTCCTAGAGCAGGGCTCGTGGGCATGGGGCGGGCGGGGGGCGCTCCCAATAGAAATAGGCTGGGGTCACTGGCTGATGTGGACTGATCCTGCACTTATACTCCACTTACACTCATTTTTTGCCCCAAAATACAAGACACACTCTGCTAAGGTAATGCTGGCCAAATTCACAGAAATTTTAAAGCTGGGGGGGTACTCAAAGTGTGGTCCCTGGACCAGCAGCATCAGCCTCACCTGGCGGCCTTCTAAGAGTTTAGAAATGCAAACTCTTAGGCCCTCCCTCTACCTACTGAATCCAAAACTCAGAGTAGTAATAAGCCTTCCACGTAATTTTGCTGCAGGCTAAACTCGGAAACTGCTGTTCTATGGGGCCTAAGGCCTCAGTAACCGGGTCATGTAGGGTACACGCTTGGGGAAAAAAATGACTGTTTGGGCCTATGCGGCTGAGTAGTAACCAGACCAGATGGACCAACACCTGCTCGGGCTCAGGGTTTCTCCCGGCAGCTTCCTCACTGCCCACAGCCATTGTAGTTCTGGCCAAAGCCAAGTGGTGGCGCCAGCACCTCGGGCTTCGCTCTGGCTTCCTAAAGTAGAGACCCTGCAAGACCTGTCCCCCTTCCCAGTGCCTTCTTCCCACTGAGAGCCGCAGTTCCAAGGCCTACCCGCTGGTGAACGCTTTGCGGCATGGCCTTTACTAGGGAGAGGGACGTTGAGGCTGGCACACCCAAATTGGGGGCCAAGCCCCTACTCCTGGGGATTAGGGAGAGGGGCTAGAGAAGCCCCTTTGGGTCAAAGAGAAATTAGCAGTGTCAGGCCTCTGGGACTTGAGGGTCAGTAACCCAGGTAGGCCGCTCTGGTCCAGTGGACTCTGGCCACACCCCATTAACCCTCTGCTGACCCTGCCCAAACTCATTCGAAGTCCCAGGTGCTGCTTCCCTGCCAATGGGTAAGGATAGCTTAGAGGTGCCCCAGGTCCCAAACAGGGCCCCCCAAGTTGGGGGTCCTCATGGCCTGGCAGCCAAGCAAGCTGGAAATGGGGATCCAAAGCAGGAGGGATGCTTGGATAGAGCTCTTACCAGCTGCCAGCTTCACGTCTCCTGAGTTGGGGGCTCTCTGGGCCCCTGTCCTGCTTTGTGGCCAAAGGAGCCCAGGATCCTGGCCCAGAACGGGCCCGCGCCCCGGTCCTGGTTCTGGGTGCAGCTCTGCAGATGGGAACCCAGGAGGCCAGCCTGGGTGCCTTCCCCACCTCCCCACCTCCCCACCTCCAAGCCCGATCCCAAGAGGACCCAGGGCTGAGCAGGGGCTCATCCCCATATGCTCCCCTTCCCCTCATCTTTCCTGTTCAATGGAAGGCTGAGACCCCTAACGCCCAGCTGGAGGCACCCCTGCCCACTCTGCTTAGACTTAGCATAACCTGGCCTCTGCTCTAGGACTCTGCCCATGCCCCCCCATCGCCACGGGTCCCCTCAACACCCACTCACACTCCGAAAGACCACCCTCTCTCCCCGTCTTGGCCATGCCCTCCTGTCCCAGGATCCCAGATGTGCAGCTGTCCTCCTCTGAGGCTCTGCCTCTCTTCTCAGGAGGCTGGGAACAGGCCAGCTGTTTTCTCCAGGCAGCCAGCTGTTTTGCCCATCAGGAAGCAGCTCTGGCTCCTCTGCTAAAATTGTTCCTACCGCTGCAGCGTGGCAGCCCTGCTGGGCCAAGGCCTGAGAGCTGTTAACTCCTCTGGGCCCAGGCAGCCCCTTCCCCCTCCCAGCACAGATCCCTTCTTCTTCCCCCTGAGCTGCAGCAGTAGCCTTGCAGAGACCCCAAGAAGACCAAGTAGTACTATCCCTACCCCCTCAACGACTGTTAACCTGTCCCCTTAGACAAAGCCTTGTCCTCAAGTGAACCCAGGTGAGCCCACAGGCTCAAAAGGATAAATGTCAGCCCCATTCAGAATAATAATAATAGCTATCATTAACTGTTGGCTGTGTGCCGGGCATCTGGTAAGTGCTTTAAATGTATTACCTAACTTAATTTTCACAACCCTGTGAAGTCGGGACTATTTTTATTTTACAGAAAAGGCAAAAAGGAAACCGAGGTGTGGAGAGTCTAAACCACTTGCCTGAGCTCACATAGACTTGGGGTTTGAAACCAGGCCTGCCCATCGCCCTCGGGCCAACCCTGGCGGCTCTGGAATTGCTGTTGGTGTTGCTATTAAAGTTTCCCCAAGCTTTTGCCTCAGGCTTCCTTTCCCCAGTCTGGGTCTCAGTCTCCCCATCTGTGAAACGGGGAAGCTGATGGATGGAGTTAACACCGGCTCCCAGATGCCTAGTCTGGAGCCGCGCCAGGCTCTGCGCTCAATACCGTCCAAGTATTTATTAGCGGATTACTCCTCCTGGTGGCTGCGGTCTGCCTGGGCTAGAATCCCAGCTTTGCTGCCTCCTGGCTGCCTGGCTTTAAGCAAGTGACTTTACCTCTCAAAGTATCAGTCTCCAAAGCTGCAAAATCGAGATGAGAGCAATGCCTCCTGCATCCTTGATTTTGTTGTGGAAAGGATGAGATAAGGCAGGTAAAGTGGTTAGCCTAGGACCCGACACGGAAGAAGTGGGTAGGAAATGCGGCCTCTTACTATTACAACTATTAACCACAATCTGGAAGGATCCGAGTGGCCCATCCGGCACAGTGTGCCCCCATGCTCAGCTCAGAGCTGGTATGTGGGAAGGTTCTATCATTTGCTGTGAATGAATGAACCTTGCTCCAACAGTCCCCACATAAGGAAAGCAGCGAGGAGAGGGCCCCAAGGTGCCCAGGTTGCACAGATACAGGGCAAAGCTGGGATTCGGCCCATCCCTGGGCCTGCCAAGACCCTGCTCTAACTCCTGCACCCCTTTAGCCTTCTCTCCTGAGGCCAGAACCTGGACTAGGGAGGGAAAGGGAACAGGGACAACCCCAGGGCTAAGACGGCCCAGAAGGTGACTTGGCTATGGCTGGGTGAGATCTCAGGGTCTGGGAATGACCCCTCAGGATGCAGTGACCCGTGCTCTCCCCCTTTGTCCCCTCCTCCCTGCCCACCATGGGTCAGTTCCCTGGTCCCAGCCTAGACATCTGGAACTGGGGCAGACAAAGGGCTGCGGGAAGGGACAATAACCTTCTGTCCATTTTCAGATGTCGGGCCGGGCCTGGCCAGGGCTGGGGGCCAGAGCCCCTGCGAGGCGGTGCCAGGCCCCCCACGGGCAGCGGACAATGTTGGCAGTGATGGAGAGGAGGCATTTCAAAGCGTTTTGTTCCCACTGACCCCCTCCCCCCTACATCTCGCCCCAGCTCGGGGTGAGGCCCCAGCCCCACCCCCAGCCACCCAGGCCCCTGCTCCAGGCGGCTTGGGGACCAGCCACATTCTTGACCTCAGGGGAAAAGTTTAGACTCTTTGGACCCTGGGCAACAATAACAGTGTCACAGAACTGATTTAGGAGCAGCACTTACCATCACAAAGCAGCAGACAAAGAGCTGGGGCTGAGAACCCACCAGGCTGCGACTGCTCCGCCAACCACTGCTCGCTTCTCTCCAGGCTCTGCCAGGCAGGACTGGGTGTCAAGTCCCCTGCACCCTGGGCACACCAGGGGAGGACTTGAGGTGGGCAGGGGTCAAGAAGAGACAGGGGGATCCAAATGGGAATCAGGGGGCCTGAGAGCTGCTTCCTGCTCCACTACCAATTTGCTATGTGCCCCTGAGCCAGTCCTTCTCCACTCGGGCCTCAGTTTCCCTATTTGTAATAAGGAAGCTAAACTGCAAGGCCAAAAGCAGGAGGCTGTGATCTTGCAGGGAGAAGGGTTTCAATAATGATGATGATGGTGATGATGGCGATGACGATGATGACGGTGATGGTGATGAGGATGGTAAGAAGTACTTACCATTTGGTCCTGCGCACTTAGTAGGTGCCAGGCACTATGCTTACTGAGCTCTTTCTGGCTTTCATCCCCTTTTCTCATTTAAACCTCTTCAACCTCACAAAGCAGGTATATAATTAGCCCCACTTTACAGTTGATAAACTGAGGTGCAGAGAAGTTGAGTCACTTGTCCAGTGCCACACAGCTTGGAGGTTGTGGAGCCAGGTCTTGAGGCGAGGCTGCCTGTCTCCTGATTATGCATCAGCGGGGGGAGAAAGCAGCAGCCAGGAAGCTGGACGCTGGTGAGTTCTGGGTGGGAGGGCGTCCCCGCCAGCCAGAAGGTCATCAATACAGAGCTGTCTGATGACCGCCAGGGGGAATTCCACCCCTGGAGCAGGAGCCTTTACAAACCAGATTGATTTTTGTAGATGAGCAGAGGTGGGCTGGGGTGGACACCCAGATGCAGGGCATTGGATGCGATGACCTCCAGTGGAGGCCTCCTAGCAACTAGAGGCAGTATAAAAGAACATTTAAGGGCTTGGGCTCTGGAGCCAAGCCATAGGTCTGAATCCCAGCTCTTTTTCAGGCAGTGTGTCCATGGGTAAGTTACTTCAGGTCTCTGTGCCTCAGTTTTCCAATCTGTAAAACTGAACCACATTACAGACCATTCAGTGAGGTACGTGGAAGGCCCCACCACAGAGCCTGACTCAGCGAGGGCTGTCTGTTTCTACTCGGCAAGGTCCTCCCAAGCCAGGTCTCACGGGCCAGGACACCTCAAAGTGGGCACCTCTGGACGCTGTAACCTGCAGTCAGCTGTTGATCTTGCTTTCCAGGAAGTGGTTGGGCTTTGATTACAGCATGAGGGACTATGGTTAGACACGAAGAGCAAAGGAGTCCCTTTTCTCTGGGATCTGTAAGACAAAAGCCAACCACGGCTTCCTAGGGATAATCAGAGGAGACTGTGGCTTCTCTGAGGCCCAGGCAGGGGTTGCTCCTACTGCCAGGCTGGGCGCCGGGCATGGAGCACAAAGGACAGGACGGGAAAAGGCCTGGAGGTGTTGTGCAGTCTCCTCCCTTCACTCCCGGGCCTCTTAAATCCAGAGGGTCCAAACTGTGCAGGTGGAGAGAGAAGGAGAGGGGTGGCCAAGGGTGGTGTCCATAATACAGACAGTCCTGCCCGCGGTGGTATAAGGGGGGCCGGTAGGTTGAGTACCAGCTCTGCCAATTTGCTGTATCACCCAGGATGAGTTGCTACCCCTCTCTGAGCTCATTCTGAAAGTCTTTTAGAATCCAAAATGTCAAAAGGAAACGATCACAGGAGCCTCTGTGATTCATTCCACAAGTCTAATCAAAAAGTCGGCTCGGGATGCAGGAGTCCTCCACCCAGACTCCAGCTCCTCCTGCCTCCCCTTACTCCCAGACTTCACCTCCACCCTCTCCAACCATCCCTTCGGCTCCCCTCTCCAAGCCACCAGTGACACACGGGCCCCAGACAGAGCTCGAGACAGTCCAAACAGAAAAGCCACAGAATCTTGGGGACTCATGGAGCTGGTGGGGGTCTTGGGAGGCCCAATAAGTACAGCCTCTCCCTACCTTGCTGCCTGGCTACAGGGCCAGAGGAGCACTCACCCGGGCAGAGCATCTTGGGGTCCCCTCAGCCCAGGAGGTGGATGGCACTGCTGGGGCATCTCTGCCAAAGTGACTCCCCACCCAGCTCCTGCTGCTGAACGGGCTGGTCAGGCGGGCTCTCAGGTGCCACACCGCCCCTCCCAGGCCCAGATTTTCCTGGCATCTGCTGGGCAGGAAGGGCACTGGCTGGGGGCAGGGCAGAGGGGCAGGGAAAGATTTGAGGAAAGGTGTTTCCCGTAGGGCTTGTCCCCAAACCCTAACCCCACTCTCCTTCTCGACACTGTAGGCCAAGGGTGCAGGGAGCCAGGGACCCTCAGGAGTGGGGAGAGGGTATATGGGGAGGCTGAGAGGAGCCCAGGCCCCTGCCCCTCCCTCCTTCCCCCAGCAGGCCAGCGTGGCCCACATCGAGGTGTTTGCTTTTCCTGTCTCTACACTGACTCCATTCAGAGCGGCCATCCCCACCCCTGGCAGCGGCAGCGGCCAGTGGCCAGGGCACCAGGGTGCAAGATCACTGCCCCCACCCTCCCCCCTTCACAATCCCCTCCTGCCACCCTCACTGCAGAGAACACCTCAGCCACAAGGGCTTCCGAGTTGCATGGGGGACTGGGGCAGAGGGGGCTACCCCAAGAAGACAGAGAAAGAGGGAAGGCAGTGGAGAAGAGGGTGGTGGGAGGACAGAAGCGAGTCGGAAAGGGAAGGGCCGCAGAAGGGACTGGCAGAACAGGGCTCCTGGTGGAGGAGGCCCAGGCAGAGGTGGGGCGGGAGGAACGGGATGGGGAGCTGCGGAGGAGGGCTGGGCTGAGAGGCGGGGAGGGCCTTGGCACACTGCACCAGTCAGAGCCAGCAGGGCCTGAGGTGGACACTGAGGCTGGCGCTCCTGACGCCCACCTGCAAACCAGCCTCCTCCTCATCCCTGGAACAGGGGCCCGGGCAGAGCTGTGACCTGGTCTGGGGCCAGGGGAAGGAGGAGGGTGAAAAGTTTCCCCAAGTCAGAAGGCCATGGGGGAGGCATCTCGGGGGGTCTTGCTCTTTGCTCTCTCTGACTGTCACGTTGGTACATAAAGGGGGTAGAAAGGTCAGATGTGGCCTTTCAGGCCCGTGGGAAAAACTCTGCCCATTTCCCTAATCCATATTTATTGGTGTGAGACACTGGGGTGGGAGGAAGCCCCCCGCCCCATCCGCCGCCCCGGCCAGGCCAGGTTAGCACTAAGAACAGGCTCCATGTCACCCAAATCCTACTCTTTGTCTCCAGATTGGCTCCAGAGTCCTCCCCCTTCCCTCCTCCCCTCTGCTCCCCCCCACCCAGCCCCCCTTGGGGTTGCCAAGCAACCATGGAAGGGTAGCTGAGATATTTTCTTTATTACAAGCAAAAGCAAGACAGCATCATGGCCCCAGGAGGGGAGCAGGGTGGGGGCTGGGGTTGAGGGCGTCCTATGCTCCGGGGGGACCATGCTACCTCCGTCTGCTCTGGGCATGGACAGCGCAGAGACAGGGCTCCAGAGCCTGAGAGAAGGAGGAAGATGGAGCAGAGTGGCGGGGGGGGGGGGAAGCAGGTGCCTGGGGTGCACACACATTGATCAGCCCACGATGTTAAAAGAGGTGGTGTCAAGAGACCCAGGCCCCAGTCTTTCACCTGTCACCCAACAGCTGTGCCATCCATACCAACTCACTTCCCTTCTCTGGGTCTAAGTTTCCTCCTTGATAAAATGGGAATAATAACAGGTATTATCCCATTTAATCCTCACATAAGCTCCAAGAGACGTTTATTTTTCCCATTTTACTGGTTAGGAAACTGAAGCTCAGAGACATGAAGTCACGTGCCCAGCAGGTAAGTGACAGGGTGGTGTTCCTGAGCCCCAACTCTTTTTTTATAACAGCTTTACTGAGATGTAATTCACATACCATATAATTTGGCCTCTTAAGGTGCCTGATTCAATGGTTAGTGGTATGTTCAAAGAGTTATGCAACCATCACAATTGATTTGATGACATTTTCTATAGAGAAATCTTGTTCTTTTTCTTGAGTCAGGGTCTTGCTCTGTCACCCAGGCTGGAAAGCAGTGGTGCCATCATAGCTCACTGCAGCCTCAAACTCCTGGGCTCAAGCAAGCCTCCTGCCTCAGCCTCCTGAGTAGCTGGGACTACAGGTGTGTGCCACCACATCTGACCAATTTTTTAAACATTTAAAAAATTTTTTGTAGAGACGGGGTCTCACTATATTGCTCAGGCTGATCTCCAACTCCTGGGCTCAAGGAATCCTTCCACCTCAGCCTCCCAAACTGCTGGGATTACAGGCGTGAGCTGCTGTGCCTGGCCGGACATTTTCATTACTGTAAAAAGAAACCCCACACCCCTTAGCCATAACTCCCTATTGTCCCCAAACTTTCCCTCCCCTAGCCCTACGCAACCACTAATCTTCTTTTTGTTCCTAAATATTTGCCTATTCTGGATATGGGACTCAGACTTCATATAAATGGAATCATACAATGTCTGAGTCCCAACTCTTAGCTCCTAATGGCACCTATATCACTGGGTGCCCGGTACTAGAGTAAGGGAGGACTGTTACTCCACTGGGATGGTGGCATAGTTGAGAACATGAGCTTTGCAGATAGACTTGGCAGACTTGGGTCTAAAACCCAGTTCTGTCACTCAGCAGCTCTGTACCTGGGGAAGCTGGTTCCTCTCTCTCTGGGCCTCAGGTTCCTGGTAGGTAAAATGGGGAGAGTGATAAGAGTTTCTCTCAAGGGCTGCAGGGATGCATGGAAAGTGGTTAACCTGGTGCCCAGTGCTCAGTATGTGGCAGTTGCTACCGGGTGGCAATAATCCACACATATGCCTGTCGAGGTATTCCTTGACCCAGGCATTTAATAAAACTTAGCACCTTTTAAGGGGCAGGCATTGTTCTAGGCGCAGGGGATATAGCAACGAATAGGACCTGATCCCTGTCCTCATGGGGCTTCCATTCTAGTAGAGAGACATGACAGCTGGCAAACATGACGCCGGCAGAAAGATCTGTTCAATGAAGACAGCGGCACAGCACGGTGGGAGGAAGCTCGCCAGGCAGGTGGAGGTGGCTACTGTGGCCTAGAAGGCTTCCCTGCCTGCCTTCGCCTACCCCATGGAGAAGAACATCATTTGTAAACCGAGAAATGCTAAGGGTGAAGGGGTTCTTAGGATCCCCACTGAGTGGGGACAGGTGGCCTGGCTTTGCCATCTTCTGGAGTGTGGGTCACTCCTCCAGTCCCCACGTGAGAGGACTGGCCACTCTCAGAGAACTCTCTTTGTGCAAATGGGGTGGTTGGAGCCCGGAGCGGGCAAGGGCTGGCCTGGGGAGGCACCCTGACTAGGGGCAGGTCTTTCCTCTATCCCAGGCTGCCCAGCCAGGTCACAGTGAAACCTGCATTGACACGACTCCAGGGTGGAAAATACCCGGCACAGAGGTGGAGGCTGCCCAGCCTGTTGCCACAGCTGGGCACCTGTCTGTACACTCTGCGTCCTGAGCCTGCCTTCAAAGCACAGAATGGAGGCCCCAGAGTGAATGGAAGCCCCTCCCAGCCCCCATCAATGAGCCCGCCCCCTGCAATGCCTCCAGTTCCACACCTAGAACCTCAGTTTATAGGCTACAAACACCCATGCACCCACTCTCAATTCTTTATTCATTTCATCTTTCACTCAGTTGTCCCAAAGTCTGTTTTTTTTATCCATCTATCTATCTACCCATTCATTTAATCATTACTTCAGTAAAGTATTCATTCATTCATTCATCATTCATTCAACAGATGTTTACTGAGCACTGCACACATGTCCTTTGTGCTGGAAACAATGTTTGGTCACATTCTTGATAAAATGCCAGTCCTGGTGGGAAGGAAGAGCATGCTTAACTGGTGGTGAGGACAACTCTGCCACCTTCTTCCTGAGAGTTGGTTTTCTGTGTGTGTGTGATGGTGGAACATAATTAATACTTACTACAAGCAAATGCAAAGTGTGTTAGGATGCTCCCAACACTACAACCATCTCTAGGGAGGCAGGACAGGCATAATGACCCCATTTCACAGAGGCCATAACTAAGGTTCATGTATTAGAATTCACTTGCCCCGGAAGCCTAAGGCAACGCTGTCTCTTGCAGAAGTTTTCCCACAGCGTCCCTGTTGGGCTGAATCTCCATCTCCTATAATCCCAGAGAATTTTGCTAATTCTTCAGCTGAAGTGTTTCCCATGGCTCTGCTCTTTTCGTTGGGGTTGGCTGGGCACTTCTGGAGTTGCAACAACATTGTTCATCTCCTTCCTATCCCCGGCAGCCTGGGATAGAGGAAAGACCTGACCCTGTTCAGTGTGTCTCCCCAGGGGCCAGCCTCCAGGACAGGACCTTGCACACATTAGGCACCAAGGGTTGCTCGCTGCAGGTCACTCAAGAACACAGTTCCAGAGCCTGCTCTGTCACCACTGGCCCTCACCTGCAAACTAGCAATAGCCTAATTGGTCTCCAGTCCCTCCCTCCCCCTTCTCCCTGCCCCTGCTCGCCACACTCCAGCCCCAGCGAACCTTTAAAAATGTAAATCTGAACTTGTCAGACCTTTCAGGATCCCCACCACAGGCTTTTAGGATAAAATCACAAATCCTCCCAATAGCCTACAGGTCCCAGAAAGGTCGACTTCAGCTTTATCTCAAACTTTCCCTTCCTCTGTGCTCCAGCCACACCAAATTTCGTTCCTTCTAGAAACTTGCCAAATACTGTTTTGCTTGCTAGCTTTAGAGCATGCTGTTCCCTCCGCCAGGGACAGTGCCCACCTTCACCTGATCCCCCACTCCTCCTCCTCTCCTATTGCCCAGTGATCTGCCTCTGCTGCACACTGGGCATCTCCTTTGGGGACATCTGTCTCCTGCTGAGTCCCTGACTAGCACACATTAGGCATTCCATAAATATCTGCTCAATGACCAAAGGTAGGAACCTTCTGGGCTCCTTTCCCTGAGGGTGAGGGTGAGGGCAACTATTCGGTGTCTGTCCAGTACCAATGGATGGGCTTTAAATAGCTCTAACATCCCCCAGGGGTGGAAAAGCCCTCCTCCTAGAATGCAGCTAGGACCTGGCCCGGGAGCGCTCCACTTCTGTAGAGACTACTCTCGCCCACTTCATATCTGTTGTGTTCATGCCAGGCTGGGGTGGGGCTGGGAATGGATTTTTTTTTTTTTTTTTTGAGACAGAGTCTCACTGTGTTGCCCGGGCTAGAGTGCCGTGGCGTCAGCCTAGCTCACAGCAACCTCAAACTCCTGGGCTCAAGCGATCCTCCTGCCTCAGCCTCCCGAGTAGCTGGGACTACAGGAATGCGCCACCATGCCTGGCTAATTTTTTCTATATATTTTTAGCTGTCCAATTAATTTCTTTCTAATTTTAGTAGAGACGGGGTCTCGCTCTCGCTCAGGCTGGTTTCAAACTCCTGAGCTCAAACAATCCGCCCGCCTTGGCCTCCCAGAGAGCTAGGATTACAGGCGTGAGCCACGGCGCCCGGCCCTGGGAATGGATTATTAATCTATAAAGGGACACAGTGTCTCCTGGATCTGGCGTTTTAAGTGTGCATTTCCATCCACCTATCTGCTAAGTAATGGCTGGGAAACTATAGCGAGCAGTGAGTTCCACAGCCCTGGGTTCCAACTCTGGCTCTATCACCTGCCAGCTGAGAATAGAGACGTCACACCCACCTGCTCCCTCACCGCCACCCCTGCTGCTAAAGCCCAGGTATCCAGGAGCCCGCTGGGCCTGGGAATCAAGCCCTCATTCTTGGTGGGGGGAGGAGGCAGTCTCCAGATCCCGGGGACTGTGGTCTCTGGAGACGGCATCCTCAGGCTGGGGCTTGGGGCTGCTCCTGCTTCTCCCTTTTCCTTCAGCGTGGTCTTCTAAGGGGGTGACTCTCTGACCTCCAGAATGTCCCCCCTCACCCTCCAGCTAGAAGCCCTGGGGCAGGAGCTTAAGGAAGGAGGGCTCCAGAGTTTCTTCATCTGTGAAATGCGCTGGTAACAGTACCTACTTTCCAGGGTTTTTGTGAGGAATCAATGAGCTATCACCTTTAAAGAGCCCAGTGCTTGGCACATAATGCACGGAGCGTTCCCAGGGTTGGGATCCGGTTAGCCGGGCTCCCTCCCTATAAAACCCAGGCTTCAAGTATTACTCCCCAGAAGCCACATTTTTTTCAACTTTCTTAAGAAACTCCAAGAAGTCTAGGTGGCTCATTTTTAAGTCACCGGGGCATGTGTGCAACCACCCACAGATATTTAATGATTGGTTGGGGGGAGGACACTGTATCAGGCCCTGGAGGCACAAAAATCAGTCGGACCCACATCCTGTCCTAGGGAGGAGAATCAGACAAACCAATAATCACAATTCAGCCAGGCACATGGCAAGGCCACCCAGAGATTGTGAGGACAGGAGAGCATCTCCGGGCAGAGCAGCAGAGTGTGCCAGGATAGAGGTAGGGGTGCTCTGGGTGCTTAGGGAGCCCTGGGGTGGATGGAAGGCAGGATGAGTGGGAAGAATGGCCACATACTCCTCCTCTAGGGTGCGATATTCACTGGGAAAGACAGGCTGAGCTCTGGGGGTGAGAAACTGGGGATGTATTCACCCAGTAGACTGAGAACCTTCTCTGTGCCAGACCCGGCCAGGGGTGGGGGTAGGGGCTGCATCAGACCTTTGACAGAGCCCCAGCTCTCCTGGACGGGTGGACTGTCCAATGGAAGAGACAATGACAAGACAAGCATTCATAGATTCCACGCCCCTCTCACACCCACCTGCTCCCCCAGCCCCCACCTCTGCTGCTACAGCCGAGGTATCCAGGAGTCAGGAGCTGGCTGGAGCCTGGGAATCAAGCCCTTGTCCTTGGTGGGGGGAGGGGGCAGTCTCCAGATCCCTAGTGAGGTGTGGTCTCTGGAGACGGCACCCTCAGCCTGGCGCTTGGGACACTACCTGCTTCTCCCTTCTTCTTCAGTGTGGCCTTGTAAAGGGGTGACCCTCTGACCTCCAGACTGTTCCCCCTCACCCTCCAGCTAGAAACCCCAAGGCAGGAGCTCAAGGAAGGAGGGCTCCAGAGGCTTTAGGCATAGATGCAGCTGGGAGACAGGGGTTGGGCCTTAAGAGACTCGGGGGTCCCCTGGGCACTCTTGGGGAGCTCAGCCAAGGCCAGGGGCCTGAGTCAGGTCCACGGGAGTGCAGGGCCGAGATGCTGGTGCCTGGCCCAGGAGGAGGGAGGGGGTGATGGGCAAAGGGGTCAGGCCGAGGGAGCAGGCGGGGCATAGGGAGTTGAGGGCCGAGTGGGGGTGGGAGGGCGAGGGGTCCGGCCGGTGCAGAGGGGGAGGCGGCCCCCGGGGAGGGGCACGCTATGTCTTTAAGAGCTGCCTGAGCGCAGGTTGCAGCTGCCTGGCCAGCCCGAGAGACAGCGGAGATTCATTACCCGCCGACACAATGACCATTGATGGCCCCGTGGCGTTATTCAAATCCAGTACCAATTGCAGCCGAGCCCCTTTCTCCGCGCCAGGCCCGTATTGTTGGAGCGGCCCACTAAAAGCCCGCCCCGGCCCCGAGCCGCCAGAGGCGCCCGCTCGGGTTCAGCCCTGCACCTCGCCAGCCCGCCGGCTCCCAGTCCGGGTCCCCGGGCGCTGCAGGTGACCCGGCGGCGCATTCCAGCGCTTCCCGCCGCCTGGGCCACCGCCGCCACTGCTACCACCGGCGCCCCGGCCGCGACTCAGCCACAGGAAAGCGGAGAGCGCCCAAGCCGGTGCGTGCGCGGGGCAGGGCGGGGGCGGGGGCCCCACGAATCCAGCAACCCGGACCCGGGCTCGGAAACGCAACCTAGCCTCGGGCTCCTGCTTTCCGGATTCCTGGCGAGCCCAGGCTGGGGGCGGGGAGAGGGGAGTCGGGGTTCCCCAGGCCTGACAGAGGAGATTCCCCCCGACCTGAGGCGGCGCAGAGACCCAACTCGGGCTACTCTAGGGACCCCGGGCCGCGATCGAAGGAAACACGCCAGGGGCGATGGGGATCCCCCAGCAGGGTCGGGATCCGTGTGCCTGCTCGTCCACCTTACCGCGGGATGGGCCGCGACTGCTCAGCGCCTGCGAGGTAGTCCGACGCGCCGCTCCGCCGCTCCGGAGATCTCCTGGTCTGGCGCTTTTAAGGAGCGAAGCGGAACCCCGCGGGAGACAGGGGCCCTGAACTCAGGGGCTTCGCCACTGATTGTCCAAACGCAATTCTTGTACGAGTCTGCGGCCAACCGAGAATTGTGGCTGGACATCTGTGGCTGAGCTCCGTGCGCAACTGGGGCGGGGGCCGCAGGGACGGAGCTCAGCGCGGGCGAGACCCCTCGGGGCGGCGGCTGGCTGGCCCCAGCGCGAAGATCGCGGCCCCGGCCCGGCGCGCAAAGGAGGAACGCCGGTCCCTGCCACCAGCGCCGCCATCCTCATCCTTCCTTCTCCTCCTCCTCTGCGGGTGACCGGTCCCGGCTGGCGGGGTCCTCCAGTCGATCGCGTCGTTTCTCTCCCTTTCAAATTTCGGCCGGAACGAAGCTGGCACGCAGCGGCGGGGATCGAATGCGGTCCGGCGAGCCCGCCCTCAGCCCGAGCCGCAGGAAGTCGGAGGTGAAAGAGGCCGGCAGAATGCGCTCCTCATTTCGAATTTGTTGTAACCTATCCCCCACAAATATTCCCAAAACAAAACAATAATCCTAAGCCAACCCCTAAATCCCAAACAAACCAACCCCTCCCGCAAGCCCCTCTGGACAGACCGATGGGCTGAGCCTCCTCCAGCCGCTGCCGGAGTGGGCGAAGCGTCGGGAATGATGCGCTCCAGCCGGGCAATCGGGCTGCGGAAATAGAACTTGGACAAACGAATCCTTTTCATTAAAGAAAAATCTTCGGAGATAGTGGGGTTTTATTCGTTTATTTCCTCGAAAGCGGAGGTCAGGAGTTGCTTGGGAGGAGGACGGTTGGGAGTTGTTGGGGCTGAGCCCGGGTCACCTGTCCCTGACCCTTTCCAGCTTTGAGGCTAAAAAATGACCCAAAATTGTCTGGAGCGCCGTGGCAATGGCATCCCCCGTGAGCAGAGAAGCAGGGTTTCTCAGCACATCCTACTGCTCTACTCAGCATTAACTGGGGTGTGGTGGGGGAAGGGATATCCCACATCTATCACCCCCTCCCACTCCTTGCAGGCAGGGAAAAGGATCTTAGCACCCAGTTTCCAGGACCTGGAATCCCAGGTGGGACTGCGGGCTACTCCTGCAGCTCAAGGGGCTGGAGGTAGGGAGGGACCTCCAGGTTACAAGAATTTGGACAGGCTGATGCTCTAAAAGTAAAGCTGCAGGGGGCCGTCTCCAGTTTCTTGCTCTGTTCCCTAACATGGACCCTAACCTCAGCACCTAGTGAGGGTTGTCATACAGCCTTTCTGGACAACACTCAGACCCCAACACTGGCCTTAATTTGCACCCAGACCACCAGCTCCTACCCATAACCTCAACATGGCCACTCTACACACAAGCCCAGAGGGCTTCCACCTGCAGCGGTGCTGGAGAGAAGCCCCACCAGCCAGGGCATCACCTGTCACATTGCTGGGACAACTGTTTGGCAATTTCATCTCCATAGGGTGAGAAATTCCACCTTAAATTATTGACATCTAATAGAAAAGCAACATTTTGGGCAGGATGATGTTAGCACCCTAATTCTTTTTGAGGTCTCCCTCTAGCCAACGAAGCTCTTTTCTCCAGGTCATGGGAAGGAAAGAGGGACTCAACAGCCTTATCTATGCCACCCCCATTTGGGTTCTGAGGCCGCTGGCTGCAGCTGGTGGGACAAAGCCTGGCCTTGGACAGACAGATGGGGATTCATCTTGGGACCCAGACTGGTCAGCACAGACTGGCTGTGCCACCCCCTGCTCCAGATGGCCCGATTGGATACCCCCTCTCAGATAGTCTGAGTTTAACCCTCACCCCCTTTTGGGTGAAGGGCAGCTCTGAGAGGTCTAGGCTGAGGATGCAGAGGTCGTACCAGAGACCACAGCTGGGGGGATATGGGGTACCACTCATTTCTAAGGATGAAGCTCCAAGCAAGGCTAGTAAACAACCTAGTCTTTTATTTGCCCAAGGCCAGCTGTTGCAGGCATTGAGGCCCCAAGACTTCCAGAAGGGATGGAGGGGGGAGGGGCAAACCACTCAGTCTACCAGGTGCTGCCTGCCCCCATCCTGCTTCCTGCAGGGGGTAGGAAGAGAGAGAAAGTCTACATCCCTGCCATTAAGTGTCTCCCCAGGTTTCAGATACTACAGATATTCAAGTTGTTGTAGAGGAGGAAACTGAGGCACACTGATCCCCCCAGGCCTCTATGTGCCAGTCCAAGGTTTAGCCTACTCCCTCTCCGTCCCCACCCCCAGCAGAATGAGCTGCAGGGAGGGTCTCAGGAGCCCATCTGGTGGCCTGTGGCAGGGAGGAGGCCCAGCCAGGGTCAAGGGCTGAGGGTAGGGGAAGCAGGAGGAGGGGTGTGGCTGGAAGAGCAGCTGCTGGGGGGGGGGGGCAGTGTTCAGCACTGAATAGGGGACCCCAGCTGGGATTCCATAATGATATCAGTGGGGGACAGGCAGAGTCCTCAGCTGTCCAGATGGGGAAACTGAGGCGCAGACTTTTCCAATCTTTGAGAAGGGAGGGGCCTCCCATCAGCTATTCAGGTCCATTCATCTTCCCCAGGAAGACACTGTGGCCCAGGGGCTGGAGTGCTGTAGGGGTCACTCCGTGTTGAGATTGAGACACAGGAGTGGAAGGCAGCTGGGTCACCTGGCTGCAGAGCCCCCTTCCACTCTGACGAACTGTAGGCACCCTCCCCCACCTCAGCTGCTGGGAGAGGGAGCGCAAGGCTCTGGCGCCTGCCTGCCCACCCCTGTTCACGTGCCTGAGAAAGGCTCATTTTTAGCACCTGGCCTCTTTTTCCTGCCTGGAGGGAGCTTGGGGGACAGAGCAGGGAAGAAAGCAGCCAAGGGGGCTGGGGAGATTTGGAAGCAAGGCCCAAGGGGACATCTGATTGTTCTGATCTCCCCACCAAGGGTGCCCAGGCCCAGAGAGGGACCCTCAGCCGCCGTGCAGTGTGGAGATGAAGAGGACGCTGTCCTTGTCCTGCAGCTGGTAGTCCAGCTCACCCTGGTGCAGGAGAGAGAAGAGCAGGAGACCCTCAGGGGCACCTTCCCAGTTTTGTCCCAGGTGTTTGGAGGACAGGCGGGGAGGGCTGGCTACTCTGGGAGAGAGAGAGACAGACTCTACCAAAAAAAAAGGACCCTATACATCTGCAATCCCCAACCTCCGGGCCGCAGACCGGTACTAGTCCATGACCTGTTAGAGATTGGGCCGCAGAGCTCTGCCACACCCCCCCAGCCCGCCTCGGTCCCTGGAAAAATTGTCTTCCATGAAATTGGTCCCTGGTGCCAAAAAGGTTGGGGACTGCTGCTGTACATCACTTGCAAATCTCCAGGATAGAGGACAGTGCCTGCTTCCCAGCTGCCCATCCCCTCCCCACTTGGGAAGCCTCAGTGTAGGGCTGGAGTAGGGCAGAGGATTACCCAGCCACTCTATATGGGCCTAAGGAGAGGCCCCACTAAAGCAGGGAGGGTAGGGGCTAGGGGAGGAAACGTCCCCGAGGTACTGACCAGCAGCTCCCAGTCGGCATCGTTAATCAGCACCAGAATTCCTGGCCGCCTGTGGGAAAGATGGCGGTGAGTAGCAGGGAGTGAAAGACAGGAGGTGGTCGCAGCAGGGGTAGAGAGGTAGAGAGGCCGTGAGGCTTTGGGCTGCAGGACAGCGTGCCGAGGAGCCTTTCCTCCTGGGGTCTGGCTAACGAGCTCCCCGGAAGGGGAGGCCACAGTCCGGGAGTAAAGGAATCCAGGTCATACAGTCATGGTCTTTGGGACCAGACAGAAAATGGGTGCAAATGTCAGCCAACACCACCAGCCAGACCTCAGGGAAGTCATTTGTTTTTCTGAGCATCAGTTTCCTCATCTGAAAATGGGGTACAATGATACCGCCTGCTCCGCAAGGTTGGCGTGAGGAGATGAGCTGATGTGTGTGAGGTGCTTGCCGCACTGTCTGTCACGGTAACTATTAGGAGAAGCACACTTTCCTAGGGGTCTAATTTTGCTCTCCTTGGCCCTGGGAATGAAGAACTTCAGCTTCTAGGCCTCCCACATGTCCACCCTGGAGAGGAGGCCATCTCGGCTCTTCTGAATCAGGGGTGGCTGCCAGTGGCACCGAGCACCTGAATGCTCAACAGCAGTCCTGCCTGGCACGAGGCACGGGAGGTCAACATTTGGACAGGCAGCTTAGACTGGCTCCTGCTGGCAGTGGCCCAAGGAGCACTGCTGGCCTTGGGGGTGCCCTCCAGGACCGCTGGAACCATGACCTTAACCAGGGGTTGGATGGGAGCCCCAGCTCCCAGGGCCTGCTGGTGACCTAGGCTTCGAGGCAGATGAACGAGCCTCACAACTGCACTGCCCACCTCTTTAACATGGGGCTGGCCTTGTTTTAGAAGTGACTTCTTTGCACATGAAACCTCGTCCTTTGCTAGGATGCTGGGTTGGGCCTGGGATAGGTACTGACACTTTGGATGTGAGTGCGTGTGTGTATGCACGAAGTCGGTGACTCCCTCGAATCTTAGACCTGTGTATCTACTAGCTACATATGGCTATTTAAATTATAATGAAATAAAATGGAACGTTTAGTTACTCGGTCATACTAGCCACATTTCAAGGGCTCAATATCCCCATATGACTAGTGGCTACTATATTGGACAGCACAGATACAAAACATTTCCATCACTGCAGAAAGTTCTGTGGGATGGCACAGTCCTAGACAGTCGAGGGATGAAAGGAACCTTTGGCAGCATCTTTTTCTCAGTATTTTCTGCATGGAGAGAGTAACTGAGGCCTGGAGAAGTGATATAACTAGCCTGAGGTTCCACACCAAGTTTGTGATAACCAGAAGGCAGAATTCAAGTTTTCTGAGAAATTCACCAGGCTTCTTTCACCTGGGATTTTAAAAAAGCCCCAACAGCCCAGTTTTAGTAACAAGAAAACTGAAAACAGACCTCAGACAGAGCTGGACCAAAGCTCTTGCCTCAGAGGAAGCAAGGAGGAGGAAGGGGAGAACAGGACTCAGAGAAGGCTAGGGCTGAACCCTAGGGTGGGGGCTCAGACATCCAACCCTCCCTCCACCCTCCTCAGGGAAGGGAGGAACAGGACTCACACGCTGTCTCCCTGGATGAACAACTCTGGCCGCTCTTTTAGCAAATTCTTCTTAATCCAAACAAGGAGGTTCCGGATGTCCCCTGGAGAGAAATGCACAGAACAAGCTATTGTCAAAACCAATTCATTCCTGGCCCTCAGACCCTTGCTTGGCCCAGAAGGAAATGAACATGGCGCTGAGGGCTTCTTTTAGACCAGGCTGTGATGACCTATGAACCTGTGGATTCCTCAGGTGAGGAAATGGGCCAGGAGAGGCCAGTGACCTGCCAGACAGATCTTCAGAGACTGCTGAAGTCTTGAAGAAAAGGTAATAGTATTTAGGGGGACTCAGGGCAGACAGCAGGAGAACTGTCACATCTAAAGAGCTGGAGGACAGACCCCCACCCACAAGTCCTGGAAGCCAGCCTGAAAATGCCACAGCTAGCCTTCTGAGAGGGCCCTGGAGAGCTCCACCTTTATCTCTCTAGACAGTCCCAGATGGAGAGGATTCGGCTTTGTTCTTAGAGGGGTCTGCATATATTTCCCTTTGTGAGAGGATAAAAACAATTGCTGAGCCGATAACATCAGTTAATTTCCTCTGGCAGAGGGAGAGAAGGATCCTTTACCAGCGGGGCTGCTGACAATCACTGCTCCACTTGTCCCTCCTTCAAAAG